ATAAGGCTCGAAATTGCTCCATCTTCTGCATGCTCCAAAAAATTCTTGCGGCAAATCTTTGGCATTATGGACCTGAAAAAATAATTTTTTTTGTAAAATTCCACTATAATGTTCTTTAATGAATAACTATGATATGAATGAATATGTCTATATTTTAAGAGTTAAATGTAGGTCTACTTTGGCATAAAACCGACCCCGCTAAAACTGTATTTGTGTTATAAGTTGGTAAAAAAGTAGAAAGAAATTGTTTAATTGAAAATATAAGTATTAAACAGTTTTAAAACCTAGGCCTAACACAAAATTATGACAATGGTTGTGTTTCTGGGTAAACCGCGTTAGGGTTTACCGTGAAAAGTAAGTTAAGGGTTTTTTTTTTCTTTAACAAACCTAGGTCCCATTCTAGGTAACCTACCAAGCAGATGAGGCATGTCATATATTTATATGGGTATGCTTGTATTTAGCCTATTATGAATTGATATAATAGTTTATAATAAATCAATTATCATTGCTTGTCCCACTATGTACCGATTTCCCAATTTGTACCACATGTAGGGTTATATTGTTTTTAAGTTTTACTCCAAACAGTGCAGCTCAGACATCCCTGACCTCCTTCTATTGAACAAAGAAGGTTTTTTAATGTTAGGCATATCATATTTAAACCTGTTTATCAAACTAATTTCATAAGAAAATGATGATTGCTTACCTCAAAAATGTAACTTTTGAGACTATAGTTGTAGCGGACTGTCATTCAGTACATTCCAACATGACTGAAACTTCAGAACTAACTTTAAACACACTGTTGGCCTTGACACAACACTTTTGGAGGGAAACTGGCCACATGGCTTTGAAGAAAAAAAAGTTATATGGAATGTCCCACTATATACCGTGTCCCACCTTGTACCACTCTCCCTATGGCCTAATTTTGTGCCAAGGATCGAAACCAGGTTGTCTGTGAAGAATCGCTGGTTCACAGTTGCAATGCAGCGTAGAAATTATGAGCTGAAATCTTTTCAAAGACATTGTCTCAGGAAATAAAGGAGTTATTTGTGTTTTAGAGGTGTCCCAATATGATTCAATGTTTCACTTATGGATTAGACTCATATTCAGCATGATTGAAATGAACTTTTTGATTTCTTTGACCGTGACGTCAAACCAAGATCTCAATCTACCGTTGCGACAACTGCGTAAATTATTTATGAACTGTTTAGTTCAGATTCTTATGCCACCACTAAAGTAATTGCAAATATATGGAGAAAAAGTGTTCATACACAAATAAAATATTACAAATTATAACTAGGCCGAACACATTTATTCACATATATAGGCCTACACACTTGAGGGGTTTTCCCTGGCAAATGTTCAAGGCGGTGTGCATTATCACCTGTATGTCCAGAAATCACCAGTCGTTCAATGGGGCTAGCTTCTCACCCCAGAACTTGTATGATCTGTAGGCCTATATGAAACTCTTCTATTCTTAGGTCTGCCAGTGTTAAATATGTAGAGTCCAGGCATTGAACATGCACAAATCAATAAAGTTAAAAAAATCTTTCTCCAGTACTTGACAGTTGCTAGAAAGATATACAGATTTTTCGCTCACGTTGACTCCACTCATATACTGATTGTAGTTTTGTTTAAGGGTTGGTTTTCTGCCAGCTAATCCCTTCTTACTCATTACAACCCTATCTTCAGCATGATAGCCCGTTATGACAACTAATACAGGTTTCCTGGTCAATTTTTGACGGAATCCAAGCAATAACAATTATTTTCGGAAATATATACTTTCCCGCACACCGTCCTTTGCTTTTTTAATTGTCTTTGGCAGGAATTTAGAACATTTCTTGGTTGTATCAGTTAGGAAAGTATTTCGAAGAAGTGCTTCAGTCAGTGGAATTTCAGTGTAAAAGTTATCGGTGTAAAGACGGTAGCCTTTATCTAAAAGCTGCTCTTATTCATAACATGCACAACACGCTGTATAAAAAGTGTATCATCATCAGCTTCATCATCATTGGGCTTAATAGGCAAGTAATCAGTAATCATCACTTTCTCCCTGCGTAGTACTTAGAAATGTTGAGCAATTGAACCAAAAGTAGCCTATATGAAAAATTGAAATGATACTGTCTTGCAAACCTATATGCAAACAACATATTTTACGCGGCATTTGCGACACAAGCAAAATATTTTCAGGGCGCAGTTTGTAAATTGAGCAAATTTGAAAAGAGGGAATTTTCATTTTCCAATTTCAATATTTCAAATGCTTTACCAGTGGTAACTAGCATGTTGCGTATCTTAATCAAACTACACTTCCGAGTAACCGGGTCCCTAACTGATATTTTATCTCGTCTTCTTGCTTGCTTCGACACTTTGGTGTTTTGATACTTTCCTACCTTGGGACATGTACCAGCAATGTCTTCCTCATCCCAACCCTTATGACTTGCCTCAAAACTGACACATCAAGTGGACGAATCATGTGTGTGTTCAGGAACTACCTATTAAAAACAGCCATATCGGCCAAGTAGAAAAACAGCTTTTTGTAAGCTTTGATTGTCCGTCTTATGATGGGGAATGACGCCATTCTCTGATCTTGGATGTTAACTCCAAGCATGCCATTGTTGTAGTCGAACACACATTTGGGTTTCTTAAGTACTGAGGTTTGACCCCTTCTAGTTATTTCCTTTCCTTTCCATTTCTATCCCTTCATGGATAGTAGAGAGCATCTGCAGTACTTTTTTTATCTTTCCACTGCACAGTGAGGTCTTAACTCATGCGCATTGATACTCCAAGCTCAAACATAGGCTTATCAAACTCTTCTGGCATATTTATTCTAGTTTGATTTGCTGTACCAAGGATGTTAGTGTTATGGTCTAACAATGCCTTGCATAGATTAGGTCATATATATCTTAAACCCGCTGCGATAACCACTGGACGATTCACAGAGCTTGTAGATTATGATGCCAAATCTGGCTCGCTTTTTAGGGTTGAATTGTATATACGATAGCCTAGCTCTTAGCTTGACGAGGCTTTCATCAATTGCGACATTCTTCTCCGGACTAAAGATGTGTACAAGCTTGGTTTCGAGGTACGAAATAACAGGTTGTAATTTCTTGAGCTTATCTCCATCGTCTGTAAATTTACTGTCTGAAAATTGGAGGAATCGAGAAATCTGGTTAAATTATACAAACGACATCACATCACCAAAGATTTTGGTTTCTATAATTCTCCTCTTTGACCAATACATCTGTATACTTGGTTTCTTTACCTGTCCCATAAGCATATACAAAGCCAAATATGCTTTTATTCTATGAGTGTTGACTGGTTTCCAAGCTTCCCCATATAGTTTTTTCCCCTTTTTTTATTTTGATCTAATAGTATTTTGGTTGCATAATCATTTGTTTCTAGTGCTATTATACTATAAAATTCCTCACCTAGAAATTCGTTTAGGCATTTTAGTGCCGTAGGGTTGTTTCCGAGTCTTCGACTGGAAATAGGGTTTAGTCCAGAAATGTTAATATAAGGGATACCTTTCACTGTGTTGTCGCACTCCTCCCCCTTCCACCTAGGTTTTCTTTTTCTGACGTTTAGTGATACCCCTAGGCCTATCAGCACCTCGGTTTGCCCTGCCTCTAGGTGCAGAGAGCATAGGCCTACTATTGTCACCAACCCCCTCCTCTCTTACTATATTCATTGCTTCTTCCTCATAATACTCGCATAGACCTACATCTACTAATTATTCACTTACCTGCCAATCATTAAAATCCCATCTTCATATGTCCTTTCTTCTTGCCCTGCTAATACATCACCATACATACATACTTCATTATTTGGAGAAGGAGAAACGTCTCTTTGCTTTTAATTTTCTCCCGATGAAGTTTTTTTAGCGAATTTCCCATATAGGGAATAAGCTATTACCGTAGTACTCATGGTAAGACCTGGACGCGGGACCGATTTTTTTTTTCGTTTTGAGGTCCCTAGAGGCCAAAAACACCATCCGTTCAAATTCATATATATATTTATATATATATGTGTCCGTCAGCACGATAACTCGAGCAAAAATGATCCGATTTTGATGAAATTTGGTAAAAACGTGTAAACGTACGTTTATTCGAACGAGTTCGCGATCCAGCATGATCGGACCATGGGAACGGGGGTTTACGGGGGGTTTTATGGGGTAAAAATAGGTTTTTCTCATTTTTTACCCAAAAAACATAAAATTTAGCAATTTCTTTCCAAACCATTTTGTAGAGCTTAAAAAAACAAATAATTTAGTATATTGAAGCGTTATTATGCGCCTAATGGTTACGGAGAAAATTCAAAAAAATTGTAAATTTAAAATTCCCATGTTATTCTTATGGAGAATAAGTAAACTGTTGTAGTTTTCTTGTTTGTGAACATATTTTGATCAAATTTGGAAAATGTTTTCATTTCTTACTAACTATTCACATTTTACAAAAAAAAAATAGTTTTACCCTCCCTGATGCAGCAAACCTAAGTACTTGTTGAACTAATTCTATTTAAATCAAGAATAAATGTTATATTTTTAAGTAGACATTTCAGTGTAAATCCAATCAGTCGAATGGAAATTCGCTTAGTCTGCAGGTTTGCTGCGGCGGGGGTATATTTGTATTTGTTCGAACTTCGCTTATGGTTTTCTATTTTTTCTCCCTGATTTTTTATCTCTCTGTATCTTCTATTCGACATACTTACTTCCTCTTTTCTTCTGCCTTGAGACTACAAGTATGGGTTAGTCAATATCTTCATTGTCTGATGAAGGTGGGGTATTCGTCATGGCAATTTTTATTATTCTACCATTTACCAATGAAATCTACCATGTTACTGTACAAAATGTCAATCTAAAAGCCTCTCCGCGTGGCGATAGAGTTATTTTTGTTTAGCAACACTAATAAACAACACGTTTTATCCCTCGACCTGTTTGTTTATTTCCTAGACTTCCATTCTATGTTCCTAGTTAGAGCTGTTTTCCTAATATTAAAAATTTGTTTCAGGTGATAAGATTTGGTCATGACTGGGACCCTACTTGTATGAAGATGGATGAAGTACTCTATAGCATAGCTGAAAAGGTGAAGAACTTTGCCGTGATTTACCTGGTGGATATCACCAAAGTACCCGACTTTAACAAGATGTGAGTCTATTTACAGTTGCAGCTATAGAACTATTAAGAGAGCTGTTAACTAAAAAATTATAGGCCTAATGTTATATTACCAGTGTAGACATAGACATGAATTCCAGTAAAAAACCGGTTTATCAAAATAAAGGGGGGAGAGCTGTTTTGGATAGTCGATTTTTTGGTTAACTCTTAATATGCTAAAAATAGCATGTGTATTACCAAGGTGTGTAGAAAAAATGAATTTATAATAATGTCTATATAATACAGTTTTAGTCCTATTTAACCTACTAAAACGTTACAAAAATGTAATTTTAAATCCAAACAACTGAAGTTACTTGGCATTACAGAAATCGGTTATTTTTCTTTGTTTTTTGGTGAGTCCTTCACAGCGTTTTTGTGCTGCAATTACCCGCCATCTTTTAATCAGAAGGACGTCCGTAGGTGTGGACTCGCTAAATTGCTCCACAAATTTTAGGGCAACCCACAATAATAAAAGTGGTTGTAATTTAACTTGTTTAAAAATAATCATCTATTAAAATTTCTGTGTCTGGGTTATACTGTAATGTTTGACTTACCTCTAATGCATTAAATCCGTTATCAGGTGTCACTTTGCCGATTCCGTTATTCACGTCAACTGCCATTGTTATAGTCAACAATTAGTTTTGGTTTACAAACCTCATAACGTGGTTCGCTTTGTGTGTCCCTCACACGGCAACCTGTTGGTTTGGAAGTCCAAATGACTATGTAACACACCGAGAGTATTTACATTTTTCTTACCTACCTAATGTACAGGATGCCCTCACTCATTAGGACTGCTTCCCCTCTGTAGTTCCACCCCATCCATTTTTGGCATGTGTTTACGATTCATTTTCACAGTGCCTACTGCATAAGTGTTACGTAACAATAGCTTATGATACAACGTAGGAGAGGAGTACCAATTGTCCAAATAAATAACGTAGCCTTTGTCTAAAAACTGTTCGGCAAGTTTCAAAACAATCTTCACTGGTTAGAACCCCTTTTGGCATTGTTTTTCCCAGTGTATATTTCAAATGATGAGCAATAGCCTGTCTGAGACTCACAAAGCTTGAAAACTTGGATTCCAAAACGAGCACATTTCTTTTGAATATACTGTATGTATGAGAGCCTTCCTCTGAACTTCATTAGGCTCTTATCAACTGAAATATCCCTGTCTGGGGTGTAGCTATTTATAAACTTATTCTCAATATAGTCAATGACAGGGCGGATTTTCCCCAGCTTGTCACTTGGGTCTGCTTCATTGTTATTTGAAAAATGTAAAAACCTCATAACTGTTTGGTACCTTTTGAAGGACATGACTTCAGCAAATATTTTGTCTCCAATAGTTATTTGTGTAACTAGTGGTGAAAGTGGCACTTTGCTGCACACGAGAGCAATCGGCGAGTGCGGAATGATCTCAAGTGCAGCAAAGGCCTTTTTCACTCGTGTTACACATTATATTTTTCCTACAGTCACTATAAAGCATATAAATAATTAGTCTTTCAAACACTATACAACACGTTTTTAGGTTCAATACAAATAGGTGCCCTAGAGAAAGTAGTACCCGCGGTCTGTATCACTCCGCTATTTTTCCTCGGCAAGAAATGTGCTCCGCGTTTTGAGAATATAGTTCCGTATGTTTTTGTAATTTGAAGTGGTTTCCGTGCCTAAAAAAAATGCGTTAAAGGTATTTTCTTGTTTATTAAGATCGTAGGAATGGTTTAAAAACGTTTAAATGAAAAGTCCAGAAAGTTCAGAAATACCTAAACTATAAACGCGAAATGACAGGTTAAATCGTAGTTATAATAGTCAATCAGCTGCTCATAGTATTATTATCTTTAAGTGTTGCCAACCTATTTCCAAGCGTACACGGATTACGTGCATAATAGAACCACGCTGTTTTGTGTTGTTTCGTTGGAATCCTGATGTGCGGCAAAGTATAAACCGTACGGCAAAGTATAAATATGCAGCAATTAGCAGCTTTCTGTACTATAAACAGTACAAGGAAGCCAATTTTGTCGGGTGACTGTAGGAAAAATCTTCTTTTTTTTTCCAATAACTTTGGAGTGATGGTTTATCTACAATGCTCATTATATGTGACAGCAAAATAAAAGCTTTCATCTCATCTATACCAATTTGAGACCACTTTTCATCAGATTTCAGGGCTTTTCTATTTGGGACATCGAAACATTGTTGGGCATATTTGTTAGTTTCTCTTGTTATTATTTAAAAAAATCCTGTCCCAAAAATGCATGAAAAACATATAATTCTGTCTGCAGTGAATCTTTGTTTGGAAATGTTTATTCCTACTTTATGGCCTAAAAATACTATATTGTGAGGTTGTTTTTTTTTTTTTTTTTTTTTTTTACCCTCCGAGGGTCACGCGTCGAGTTTAAGACGTACAACACACTTTGTGTAGGGTCACGCGTCGAGTTTAAGACGCACAAACATCGTTTACGGCGAAGGCTCTATGACTGACTGAATCGGATTGAACTGGATCGAGTTAGGTATCGTTCTTTCCGTAATATTCTAAGCTTTCTCCAGAGGTCTGTCTCTAAGCGCTATTCATTTTAGTTCCGAAAATATTGTAGCAGACAGCTGACGTGCGTGTATTTGTAAACAGCTAGGTTCCCCCGGACCGATGACTGATGTGTTTTATTACGTTTATCATTGTTTTAGTGTTAAAAATCAAAAGTAGTGATATACGTGGTGCATTATAAGAAGATTTAAGTGGTTTTGAAGTGCTGGTTGATGATCCTGAAGAAGTAGGTAGTGATATTGATGTAAATTATCAGCCAGATTCCTAGCTATGGTTAGGCTATGCATTCTTAGCTAAACGCTATGTACTGAAATCCGTTTTTCGCTCATAACTTATTTATTTGATAACTTACCTCGCTATATGATTATATATTTGTAATCCTCATTAAAATTAGAACAAAGTGGCTATTTTCAAATATTTATAGGCCTATAATTTATACAATTTCATTGAGCGCGAACTTATTTTTTTTTTGAAAATTTTCGAAATTATATTTTTTTTACCTAAAAATTTTTTTTTGAAAAAATGTTCCTTGTGTTTTATATATAATATTGAAGCCCATGATTTTCCAAACAAAATGGTATATAGAACATTAGAATTAACATTGTTTTAAGCTTCTCAGATCCGTTTTAATAAAACCTTGCAAAGGGGCCAAAAATAGGTGGACATTAAGGCCTAAACTATGGACACTCGGAGGGTTAAAGAGGTTGGCGGCCTCTTTTAACCTTGCATTTGTCCGTCCACATAGACTAAGCGCCCGTGCGTGGATCGTTAACAGCAAAGCAAGGAGTGGGCTGGTACAGTACAAAGGTGAACTGTATTGATAAAATGTTATCGGCAATGACCAGGATCCGAACCCTTGACATCGCTGCATTGGGCCCGAAGTCCTCGACGCTACCAACTGAGCCACCGACTCACTAAATGAGCCACCGGTTCATTAGGTCCATCCTCCCAAACTAAAGGACTGTCAAGAGATAATCCGATTTCCCCTCTTAACAACCTGTTCTATTATTTCATCTATGTCATAAATTTCCCCCCTAATAACTTGTTCAATTACCCCATTTGTGTGATCAATTTCCACTCTAACCTGATCACTTGTTTCATTTATATGATCAATAAGTATATCAGTAACAATATCTACATCATTGAAAATTACAGGCGGGGTGTGAAAATCTGGTCGATTTGGCAGGCTTATGCCTTCTTGTTCGGCCTCAATTGGCTCAGCCTGACATACATAGGAGCTTTCAATGGACGAATTTATTCCTGCACAAATATCTAAATCAATAGTTTTGTCAATATTATCAATATCAATAGGTGTAGGGAAAACATCATTACTTACAACCGATTCCTTCCCTGAGCTAGGCCTAGCAAACTCGATTGGGCCGATGATGAAAGAAAAGTATAAAAGTATAAAGTATAAAGATGAATCTGCGTAACCAGCCAGCGTTTAAGTACTACACACAGATTCTTAGGACAGCAAAGGAAGTAGGGTATGCTTGGAGTCCATGAATAAAGCAGCACAAGAAACCATTGTTCTAAATTGTGGTCAAACCGATATCACTGCCATATTTAAGGAATCTTTACAATAGACAATAGACAATTCCCTTATTACAATTTCATCAAGAAATGTTACAGCGTCAAATTTAAATAAATAACATTGGTATAATAGATACATAGTGAAATGGAAACGCTTCTTCAGTGTTGTGCGTGGTCTTGTCATGGAAAAAACTCCTTTAGGGTGTAGAATACTTTGTCTAACAGCCATCTCCGTAGCTTCCTCTTCATCAGCACAGGGCCTCCAATTTTCAAGTGGTCTGATAGCTTGTTTAGCATCTTCACTCCTGCATACAGTAGTTTCTTTTCAAACATTGCTGTTCTGTGGCCAGGCAGCACATAGTTTCCCGCATATCTGGTGTTGTAGTCATGTATTTCTCTTTGTTTAGGCGGGTGTTTGGTTACGCAGTAATAAATAGTTTCTAGGATGTAGACGGTAGTCACCGTCAGGATGTTCAGGTTTTTGAAGACTCAAACCCACTCATGTTATTATACCATTTGAAAGATAATTTTATCCTCTTTCCAGTGATATATAGTTTTATAGGTTTATCTGGAGAGAGATTTTTGTTATCAAACCCTTTGTAACTGAATGTTCCGATTTCGGAAAAATCTAATTATTTGTATTTAGGAATTTTTTTTGGGTGATAATAGGTAATAGTTATCATTTCAATTGTATTATATGATTCTGCATTAAATTTTGGATATATGAGTCAAATTTGAGGCCTCTAGCTTAAAAATCATCCATTCTACATAGAAAGACGAGAATACATGCACGCTCCCTTAGCGTCAAATTGGACCTCGGAAACTAAATTCGCTCAAAACTTCAAATAGCCATATCTCTGAAACCTTTGACATAATGAACTGACATTTTGGATTTTATCCTATCTAAATGTCTAAATTATGTGTACAAATTTTCACGAAAATCTGTGACTAGTGGGTGACAACCCCTGGATGACTTGACATCTAATGGCCCAAGGCATCTCTACAGCTTTGTTCTTTACTTATGCCTGCTATTATTCTGATAGCCCTTTTCTGCATAACCAGGACCCGGTTAAGATTGTCCATAGTGGATCCACCCCAGACAGTAATACCATAGTGTACATAGCTTTCAAACAATGTATGGTATGCAGTCTTCGTTGCCTCAGGGATACTAGTCTCTTTGATTCGTTTTATGGCAAAGCGAGCTGGCCCGAGTTTTTGGCAAAGACAAGCTACATGACGATCCCAGGATAAATCAGTTATGACACCTAGATGTTTAATTTCTTAGCTGCTGTCAGGTTGGGCATTTCAGATACTGTAGACTTTCTATTTCCAAAAGTCGGATTCATCATCACACAAACAGTTTTTACCGCTTGCTCTGCCTTGCCTTAGGCCTACTCCTAAAAATGGCTTTTCTAACATTTATTTCACTTTCTGCTGTTTCAATCTTGCTACTGTTATAATTTAATACAGTATATGTAGAGATTATTTATCTGATACTTACGTAAGGAAATCAATCATTTACATTTTTTGCAAACTGCTATCTTAGCAAGAAGCATTTCCAAGTTACGAAAATTAGCAATACAATTCTGAAGTTTGAGCTTATTTTCTTCCTGGATGTACTTTCCCTACTAGGTTGAGGATCTCGAGGTTCTAAGGATCCTAGATTCTGTCCCTGATGAACACTAGTCTCAGTTGTAGGCTCTACGACAGTTAAACTACCTGTATTCTCTTTCCACTGAAAACTTTAGCATGTTTCTTGAAAAAAGTATTACCAGGATATGTTTTAGATCAAAATTAAAAAAGGTTTTTAATTCAATGACCATTGCGTAAAAAATCAAATCAACTTTCCCTTCATATTCGTTCATAGTCATGAACAAAACACAAAACCATTGCATGATAAATTTTGATTTCTATTGAATTCACACAGTTTTTCTCTTGCAGGTACGAGTTGTATGATCCTTGCACAGTCATGTTCTTCTTCCGCAACAAACACATCATGATTGATCTGGGAACGGGTAACAACAACAAGATCAACTGGGCGTTGGAAGACAAACAAGAGATGATCGATATTGTTGAGACTGTCTACCGAGGAGCTAGGAAGGGCAGAGGTCTCGTTGTCTCTCCTAAAGACTACAGCACCAAATATCGATACTAAAACAAGATTGTATTTTATTTTGCTTGTACATATGTCAAGTTACTTTGTCCTGTATCATGGCTTAAAGTGTGGAATCAGCCTAAAGACAAAAGATTATAGTAATGTAGATTTTAAATGTTGACTATTTGATTCTTTCTATGTGAAGTATTTGTTTAGAGAGAAGTAAATTTGTGACTAATAGTGTACGTTCACATAAAATTTAATATAATTTGTAATTAGTAGGAATAAGATATTTTTTTATTGGTTAATTAACAAGGATTTACTTTAAACAAATTAAATTCTAAACTGTATTAAGAACACAATTTGAAAGATTACCAAATTTATTTGTGTAAATGAGCTAATTTAATCTGACTTCCAGTGTAATCTAAATAAATAAATATAGGATGGAGAGGACACAGCTAACTCACCTGATGAAAGGTTGCAGATGAGTCAAAGAACACATAAAATCACACACATAATTTACTTAATATTTCGCCTCTTTCAGAGGCTTCTTCAGAAGTAGGCCTAGATGGTAGTTACAAAACAACAGTTTAAATAGGATGATGAAATAGAAAGAAATATTAAGTAAATTACGTGTGTGATTTTATGTGTTCTTTGACTCATCTGCAACCTTTCATCAGGTGAGTTAGCTGTGTCCTCTCCATCCTATATTTATTTATTTAATCCAAGCTAAATGCTTTTTCCTAAAAACATAACCTTCCAGTGTAATCTGTAATCCTGTAGGGTGGGTTTATGCCAAAGTGTTATATTCTATGAATATTTATATTATGTATTTTCTATTAAATTCATTCAGAATTTTAACAATTTGTTGTTTTTTAATCAACCAAAAACTCTGTCCAAATCAGAATGTTATAAAAAAAAGAGGTTTTGATGAGGTTTATAAGTTTATTTATAACATATGGATTGTTTCAAAACTTGTTACAGTATTGTTGTCTAATCAAAAAAATCTTTAATCCATGATTGCTGTGTGAGTAAAGGTATTAAGTACCTTACACACCTATGTTACAGCAATGTTAAAAAAATATATAAGCATTAATTTGTTTGTAATTGCTCCAAAAATTTGTTACATAATAGGAAAGGATGCAAAATTGTGACCTATTAACAGTTTAAGAGACATTGGGATATTCCTCAAGTTGTGAAGTTGATTGGGGGAAATTTTGTCAACGTTTATTGATGAAAATTAAATTGTGCTCCTTCAGTCTTTTTAACCCTCAGATGACTCTCTGGCTTGTAATTTTACAGTACAGAGGTCATTATTGGGTACAAAACTAGGAAGTTGGCATAAATGTTAACACATTGTCATTCATGTACTTATTGTCACACAGAATTCAATCAAAATAAATCAAATATGGTACATAAAATTATGAATGCTTTGTCCCACACAGGAATTCACTTAAAATTTGTTTAACAACAGTAAAGTTAGTCTTAGACATCTTGAACAAAACCAAGAATTTAGAAATGTATTTAATTTTTTCCCCCAATGCTGAGTCTAGGTTTGTCTGGGCAAGTAATGGTAGCATATCAAACGTTGGGTCTTGTTTTTGAAGCACACCTAATTTCTTTCTTGCCCTCCTGGCCTGTCCCTCTCGTTCCATTTTGGTAATGACATCGGGCATTTTCCCTTGGCCTTTTCTGTGCGATACTTTCAACTGGAGGGTCAATAGGGTGAGGCAATACTCCACTTCAATCGAAAATCATAGAAAGGTATCTTTCACATAAATTGATTTTTGTGAAAATGGGGTTTAGTAGAAGCATCTGCAAGACATGGATAAAATTCTTTTTATACCAGAATAGAATTTTTCTTTCACATTACGGTTATTATGTTGATCAGAGAGTATATATTCTAAGTAGTATATATTCCTAAGAGTTATATTCTTCATCATATCATCTCTATTTCGCCCATGGTACATAAAATAGGGTCACAGTAGCTTTCTATCTAAATAGCTATAACCGAGTGATCTTCATCGCAGAAAGATTTATTTCTTCTGGACTCTTCTCCTCGCTGTTTCTTCGTGGTTTCCTTCCCAGAGTATTGAACCAAAGATTTATAGTAGGTATACAACTTTTTAAAATCCCAAATCAGTGTTTACCAGAATGTTTTGAAGAGTGATTTTCTTTCATCTTCTGTAACTTGTCGGCACTGGCATTTACTTGATTTCAAACAAAAGTTACTTCTACAAGGTGGACCCAATTTTGTCTCTTCTCGTTTTGTTCCTCTTCTTTTCTTGGACCAGCCATTCCTTTTTCTCTAAGTTTCATGTTTTTGTTATCTCGCCATTCTTCTGGTTCGCTATTTTTCTCCTTTTTCGTGATATTTTTCCTATGGCGGATGGTATTTTCTTGGTTTTGTTCTGTTTTGGTCTACTCTCTGAGTTTACTTGAACATAACTTCCATGACGACACGCTCCGCAAACAATCCTTCAGAATTTGCACCTGCAGCCAGATAGTCTCCCCCACTATATAATTCGACATGAATAACATAATTTGTTTCACTGTCACACGATTGGAATTTCTTGATACCGTACTATTTATTTTATTTGGCAAGTACTGGATGAAAGTGCACCTGTTCTTCATGCCAATTAAACTTTCGTCAATACAGACATGTTGGTTTGCTACGAAATGCTTCTTGAAAGCTGAGTTCACATGATCAAAATACCACCTGATCTTCAACTAAGGGTCATAATTGGGGTGGTCTCTTGGAACATCACGTGCAGATGTCATATGCAAAAATGTGTTGATCAAATTAAATCTGTTGACAGTCATGTGTTTGCCATAAAAAGGAATTAGCTGAGATTCTTCAGTGTCCCAATAGTGTCTCACATTCTTTTTCACAGTTAGCAGTTTCTTTTTCATATTTATGAGCAATGCAAAAAAAATTTTCCTCTCATTGACGGTCACCTTTGTCCATTTCCGAAACCTAGATTTAGGGCTCAACGTGTCCCGCTTTTCTGCAATTAAACGGTCAGCGTAGGCATTTGTTTCCCGTGTAAGTAATTGCCAAAATGGCACAGTCAAAAACAATGACAAATAGTCCAGAGGTGGACTATTTCTAGGGGGAAGATCTTTAGGCCCTGTTTCCCTAACTCTAAACTCAGAACTAATGTCTTTTGGTTCCTCTGGGGGATATAAACCTAACCCAAGGTTCTGCTAAAGGAGGACGAACAAGAGGTGGTGTTGGAGTAGGCCTACCTGGTTCATTTATTTCTTCATTTATAACTAATTCATCATGTTCAGAGGTATCTAATTCACTTAGATGGGGGCTGTAATTGGCTTCACTTCCACTGGAAAAGTCCGTAAGTGAATGTTCAGAATCTGTCACTTTTACTCGGTAATGTCAATCTCAAAATCACTTACGGGTTCATCAGGATCATATATCATGTTTGAATCATAAATCACTAATATCATCTTCTAGGGCATTTCTAATATCACTACTATCCATTTTAGAACGAAAAGTTCAACTAAAACACTAAGCAAACGCGACTAAACAACGCAGTAAACACAGCAACTTACTAGCAGTAGATAGCAGACAGCTGTCGCAACTTTTGTTGATCACAGTACAACAGAACATACAGTTAGCGTCTGCAGGCAGGCATCGGGGGAAAGCTTGTAGTTTGCCGATTACAATGATACTATATTCAGTACAGCTTGTGTTGTATTAAGGGGCTTTAAAGCGCATTAAAAAAATGATTGTTTACTGTCGCAATTGCGACAGTAGACCGTCAGCGGCTGGTGGATACTGTCGCGCGCGACAGTTAACCGCTTCTATTAAGCTGAGTAGTATTTCTTCCATTAGTAGTCTGATTGAAGCTTCCAATAAAAAAGGGCTCGAGGAAACTCCAAAAACAACTGGACAATGTCTGTAAACTATAAGTTGTCTTTCCTTCGTAGTACACAAGAATCGCAAAAAGTCTCTTTCGGCTTGGTAAAAGCAATTTGTAAAAATGCCTTGCGAATATCAGCTATTACACCAATTTTCTTCAGTCGAAATCGAGCCATTACTGAAGGAATCTTCTCAATAAGATTGGGTCCTTTTTCCAAACACTGATTTAACGAAAGACTTTGATGTTCATGCACACTGGCATCGAACATAGGACGAATCGGAGTAGTACTGCCAACTTTTAAGACAGGGTGATGTGGTAGTTAATGGAACTTCTTCTATGATCTTTTCATTCAACCACCCATCAAATACTTCTTGGTATTTGTCGTATAGGTCTTCTTTCTCAAGTTTCTTCACTGTTGAAGATAGTCTTTTCTTAGCTTAGTCATAGTTGTCTGGCAGCGGAGAGTGATATGTTTTTGGTGCTGATGCCGATTGTTTTCATATCTGCAATCAATCCGTTGAATTGCTTGTTTACTCTCTCTTCGAGATGCAACATTCGAGCAGATAGCTTGTCTCGAGCCTCCAGAACTCGTTCCATTGCTTGACTCAGTGCTCTCTGATTCCCTTTCACCTCATTAATTGACCCGAGTATTGCATCTAGATATAATTTGACTTGTCCAGGAGGGAATTCCCCCTGATAGGAATGATCGTTCCTACAGGCGATCCCGAAGATGCAGACCCCGGATTTATCATCTTTGCATCGAACTGGCCTATTAGCCCGGGTGTCTGTTGAGCTGCCACCTTTCCTACCTCTAGATGTGTCACTATCAAGGTTTCTAGTCTTCGGCATGCTCTTAGACCTGTTATTCCGGTATGTTTTTCTCTCTCGATGCTCAGATTGAGTATCCGATTCTTCAGCTCGACTTTTGCAAGGAGATGGGATCGTGCTGCACTTGGCTGTGACGATGAAGATCCAGTCCTCTCAGTATCTTTATCAGGCGACTAGCGAGGTCCCCCAAGCATTGGCTCTTAACTCCTTCTTCATATTGAGTTGGAGCACTGAGGGGTTGTTGGTTTCCAGCCGACATGATTAAATTCCAATCCTGCAGGGGAGGAACACCGACTGGATGGAGCACATACCCTGGTGACAGAATGTCTGGATTAGCAGTTACATTCAGATGCGGCTGAATCGGAAGAGCAGGGAGCCCTGAAATAACTTGTGGTTGTTGGGGTCATATAGTATTTGATGCCCCTTCTCCATCTTGAGTAGCCATACTTAGCTTCTCTTGAATAAGCTCTCGCAAGATTAGTAGGTCTCGATGGATTGATCTCAAACAGATATGAATATTGTCGCTGTTTCTAGCTTGTTGTAAGGAGATTATGTTGGCATTGAAATCCCAACAAATGTTAATCACTAGAAGCCGTTAGAACATCTGCTTCACAGATGCTACGATAATCACAATATCTATTCACTAACGTAAATTCCTAAATAAAGATTATTGTAACCATGACGACAGAGGGAAGGGTGCACGCGACCTAGGGCATTCACTAGTAGGCTGACATCTGCCTACCCTAGTTGGGGTAGGTCACGACAACCCTAATATGGACCCCAGTCCATTCATAACCTCCCGTTGGGGTTCACCCTTCGGGCACAGTTGTAAAGCACCTCCCCCTTGTCATTGTAGTCCCTACACCATTCACTAAGCCTCCCCCATTCAGACTAGGGTAACTACCCTTACTACAATAGTCTAACGGTCCGGTATGAAACATTATATTATTCTCTATAACTTTCCTTTGAATCATCGTGGTTTCCAATTGATCTATTCATAGGCCCAATGTGGCTTGCGGTTGGGGGATGGCCACTGACGCTACTCGCGGTTTATATAAAAGGGGCTCCTAGCCCGGTGGTTGTCATTCCACTCGTACATCGCATCGGTGACATGCTGGCCGTCCTAGGTGAGTCTCTCATTATCTCGTGGTAGCT